GTCCAAACGTTGTAAAAGGTCTTTGACAACGTTTTTTGAACGTTGCCGTAGGCTGTTTTTGTTGTAGTGTTTCCATTGACTTTATTTGAATGAAATTCTTAGTTTAAAAGATTTATTATTGACGAGAGCTATAGCAATTGTACCTATTAAAGTGACTAAAAGAATTAATGAAATGAATTCAAAATTTCCTAGCTGAAATTTTTTGGGATGTTATGAACCTAGTTTAGATCTTCACATGCATGTATTAATATTGAATAGAGCAGTGTGGCTTTATCTACCATAAAAGATCAAAGTATCAAAACCAATTAATTTCTTTAGCTTCAGTGTAGGCTTCTACAAACTTGGTATGGGATCAAGTCCATGTCATTTTATGTTGATTATAGAAAATTCTAAGTGGTATCCTTTATATCATATATATCGCAAGCTTGCTTTTGTAATGTATATTTTGATGTTGTCTTCAAGGTATATAAACTATTTTTACCTAATTCTAGTCACAACAAGTCTTTGTGAAATAAATTTATTTACTTTTTAAAAACTTTCAGTCTTCCATTAACACGATAGGAAGGTAAAAAATAAACCCACCCACAGATTTTCATTATACTTAACCGCAACTATATATGCCAAAAAATGCTAACCATGTTAAATCATTGTGGTAAAAATGATATAAAACCACAAAAAACAGAATTTTAATTAAAAACTAAAACCGGGATCCTTAAAATAAAAATTTAATTTTAACAGAGAAAAAATGAAATACAGATATATATGTATACCAATCTTTGTGCGCTGGTTTTAGGGTTGTAGCACATGAAGAAGTCCACTGTATTTGCCATCTTGATATCTTTATTTGTTAACGGCATGAAAAAAAATGCAACTGGTAACTCAATATATGAATAATCAAGATTCAAGTGATCAAGCTTAAAAAAAATTGAACCAAGAGATTGACATAATGTGCCTAAAAGGGGAAAATTTGAAGCCGACTGTTGTTACTTATACCACTTTGTTTAGAGAGTATTGTAACAACCAAGAGACTGACATAATGTTAGATGTATTGAGGTAGATGGTTGATAGCAGGATTAAGTCAAATGAGATCACTTGTAATACAATTATAAATGGGCTTTGCGAAGCCCAAATGTTTGATAAGATAAAAGATCTTTTAGAAGAGTTGCATGGAGAGCGTGGAGGATTTGTGCCTGATGCATGCTCTTTTAACATGGTGATGAATGCTCATTGCAAAGTGGGCGATTTGAGTGAGGCATTTAATGTTTTTTGAGAAAATGAAGGAGCTGAAGGTTCAACAAGATTTGGCCTCACACAGTGTGCTGATTTGGGGTTTGTACAAGAAGTTGGATTTTGGGAGGGCAGAAGAGTTGCTTGATGAGTTATTGGCGAAGGAGATTTTGTTATGTGATGATGGGTGCACTCCCCTTGTTGCAGCATACAATCCCTTTTTGAATATCTTTGTCGAAATGGGAAAACGAAGAAAGCTGAGCAAGTTCTCAGGCAGCTAATGAGTAGAGGAATACAGGATCCTTCGGCATATAGAACTTTGATCTTGGGGAATTGCAAGGAAGGAACCTGCGTAGCTGGGCACAAGCTCTTGGTCTTGATGTTGAGAAGAAATTTTGAGCCTGATCGTGTCAAGCCCATTATAGATTAGCCAAGCCCATGTATAATTAGCCCATTTAGACAGAGGTCATTTATGTCATTGTGGATTTCCTCCTTCATGCTTAAGGCGTGAACTGTTCCTCGGCTCGTATATAAGTAGGTTGTAATTGATTTCATTTGGCAATTGAATTAGTTCAATCAATTGGATCTTATTCCCGCCTTTCTTTTCCTCTCTCTCAATTCTCTGCAACTTATCATGGTATCAGAGATACGCAATTAATATTCCGCTCAAATGGCAGAGAATTCAAATGTAGCAGAAGACATACAAAGCCAGTTCGATCATTCTAATTCGTCTGGCGATTCATCTGTGGGAAAAATGGCTATTGAAGATAATAATTACATTCTCAGTAAATTGATTTCTGATCGTGCAGGACCTTATTATCTTCATTATGGAGATAATACAGGAATCCAACTTATTTTGGTTGTTCTCACTGAAGAAAACAATCCTACCTGGAGTCGAGCTGTTATCATGGCTCTTAGTGTTAAAAACAAAGAAGGATTCATTGATGGATCAATTGAGAGGCCTAACAGAGACGATCCTTTGTTTAGTGTTTGGTGCAGATGTAACCATGTAGTATCTTCCTGGATTATTAATTCAATCCCTAAGGAACTCTATCCTAGTGTGATGCACAAGGATTCCGCCAGAGAAGTACGGATCGAGCTTCGCGATAGGTACAGTCAAAGTAATAGTACTCGTGTTTATGATTTGAAGAAGCAGATTGCCTCTATCTCACAGGAGAACGGCTCTATCAGCTCCTACTTCAATTGATTTAAAGGACTTTGGGAGGAATTGGATAACTATTGGCCTGAT